AAATCCACTTGAGAATAAAATTAAAGTAATTACATATTACCATTTCACATTTTTCATGTCTTATAACGAAAAGGAGGTTGTGAGGTAAATGAAAAATAAAAAACTTTTATTTATTTATTTTATTCGGTCTGGTGTTGTTTCGTTGATGAGCTATATCATATTATTAAGGAAAAATAATTCAACGTCCAGTTCAAGCAACGATGGTAAATTGCTTTATTTCATCCTTTAGGTTTAATGTTTATATAAACTTGAACACTTGTAAATCACAGGTCAGAAAATATTTGAATTACAACTTAAAAAAGCGTATTGCCATAAATTGCAAACAAAAGATTTTAACAAACATAAATTGCCCCCAAAGAATGACAGGAAAAAGACTGGTATTTGTGTAGAAAATGGACATTACATCCGAGGCTGTTGGTGAATCAACTACTCATAATAAACCAAGAAAACGTTATCCTGAAGATAAGAGTACTCCATTAGACTCAACTGAGGCAAAAGTAAATTACTTAAACCTGTTTACAAGTTAACAGATTCGTTAATAAGAAGCCTTGTAACATGTTGATTGAGATTAGTTGTAGGGTTGATCTGGTAACGAAAGGTGGGAAATCGCCTCCAGAGATGGGGAGCTTTTGTACACAGCATGCTGTGTGAATAACTGATATTGGGGAAGAACGCACATTGGGAACATACTTCATATAAAGACATGGACGTGAGGTTAAACTATCTATAAACAGTTACATAGTCTGTGCACTATACAATTATACCACCAAGAGTTCGACTTACAGTGACAACTAGGACAGAAACGCAATGAAGAATTTCACTATAAAGTGCAGCAAAGCAGAATTCAGAAGAAGAAAAAAAGGTAGTCCAAACCAAAAGTTTTCCACTGTGCTCGTTTATGGAAGCACTTCAACATTAAAATGGCCAAATGGTTAGCTTCATAGAAGGCATTTCTCGAGGTAAACCAACCTGCTGAAGAGTCTGCAATTCTTGTCGAGACCATCTTCATAGTATTACTATGGACAGAACCACCAGTGGATTCCCCCGACAATTTACCCATAGAATACTCCCGAGTGACAAGACACAAGTGTTTATAAAAGACAAGAAGTCCTCCCACCATTATTACTAGGGACAGAACCATCAGTGGATTCCCCCGACAATTTACCCATAGAGTACTCCCGAGTGACAAGACACAAGTGTTTATAAAAGACAAGAAGTCCTCCCACCATTATTACTATGGACAGAACCACCAGTGGATTCCTCCGACAATTTACCCATAGAATACTCCCGAGTGACAAGACACAAGTGTTTATAAAGGACAAGAAGTCCTCCCACCATTATTACTAGGGACAGAACCACCAGTGGATTCCTCCGACAATTTACCCATAGAATACTCCCGAGTGACAAGACACAAGTGTTTATAAAGGACAAGAAGTCCTCCCACCATCGTAACATAAGCCACAGTAAAAAAATCACCAAAACGATTTAGGAACAACAAATGAGTAAATAAGAAATATTTGTTGATTAAAATTTGTATTCTACTTTGTGTCACATAACTAAATTATTGTAATGTCTATATTTATTAATATTAATGTAGTTAGTTTTCAAGAGTTGCTTTATTGTTGATTATGAAAGTTTACGTTCAATATACCAGTGTTTTATTTGTGTAATAGGAATGTGGGACTTCACAATCCAGGAAAGAGACATTATGCTAATCTGTATATATATATATTTAATTTACCATTTTTTGGTAGCTAAAAGGTTTCGAAATCAGAGATGAGCGCGTAGCTCAATGTGTGGAGTTTCTTGAAACTGTTTAAAACACGTGCTAGAGAGTAGGGAGACTATATTAGATTGTTTACTGAGTCGACCAGTTAGATCGTTCATTGCACTAAGTTTTAATAGAAACACTAGAAGTGCCATTGTTTATATACGAGAAATCTCTGTAATAGCGATATTCAATATTTACTTACTTTTCTGTACAAAATGAGTTAGTTGTACAATGACAACTCATCATCTGTCTTCACTTTCTGATCCAAAACTAAACAAGTTTTCTTTCATCTCTCTCTTCTTTTCATTTTTAAGGTGGTATGTTAAATCAAGTATTGGCAAATGTTTTTTTTAAACAAAAAAAGAGCTTTTGGTTTAGTTATTCCACTTTAACTGAAAATTATGATCATGTATTTGGAGTAGAATCCAATTGATTTTTTGTTTTTATAAATTCGTTTTTTTTCATTTCAAAGAAATCTATAGAGTTGCACCTTCACACATACGTTTATATATATAAAAGCCAGTTGTCTTTTGGTAACTTTCCGTTCGTCTGTGTCGTTTAGCAACAAAACTATGATCTGATATTGTTTTCTTAAGTATGATAACAACATTTCGAACGTTCTCGAGAGCTGATTTGAATTCCACTTTTTAAGATCGTTTTACGTTTTTAGTTAAGGCATATACTTAGCTTGATTAGACATTTCGAAGTTCTTAGCCAATTTTAAAAACATCTAAGTTAGAGGTTAGTGACCATAATCCGTATGTTTTAATTAGGTTTTCGTGAAATTTTTCCGTTTTGTTATTACTTTTTTGTATAAAACTTTTTTTTCTTTCTTCTAGACGTATTGCCATTAGTCTTAACTAATGATGGTACTTGAAATTAATTTTTAGGTTTAAACTTTTTGATAGAATTTATATCATAAACCTTAAGCCTATTGGTTTTGGGTGCTTCATCTTCTTACGGCGTTTAAACTATAATTTTTAGGTAGTATGACGTTATTAGAAAAATATGTTCTGCGGAAGGTTTGTACAAAATTCCAATCCGTCATTTTTTGACGAGTTGGGCAAGGTTAGTATTTTATAATGCAGAGTGATTAGGAAGCCATAAAATATAATAATATGTGTTACGACATTTAAACTACATTTATTAAAGTAAATTTACGCTAATAGAAAATAAATAAAAGCTGGTGATGTCACCTAAAAATCAAACCATTACACTAATATACTCATAAACATTTTCTTGGTACAGTAAGTAATTCTTTAATTCATTTCACGAAAAGTGTACTGTAGAAACGATATATTTGTAAATTCTTTTATCGTCAAACAATATAGTGCTCAACCATATTAACGATGTTTAATCAAAATTATTAGTTTTGTTATTTTTTACCATTAATAAGTTATTTGGTTATAACGCACTCTAAATATTTGTTTGCATAAAAGTAAAAATTTAAAAATCATCACATAGCCAGGTATTTTTCGATATGATATAAAAGTTAAAACAACCTAAAGCTAGTGAAGCAATGAAGCCCACTAGATCAATAGATGTAACAAATATAATTACGCTGGGCCTAACAAATATTATTACAATAGGCCTAACAACTAAAATCTAAAATTACACTAGGCCTAACAAACATAATTACACTAGCTCTAACAAATAAAATTACATTAGGCTTAACAAAGTTAATTACGCTAGGCCTAACAAATATTATTACACTAAGCCAAACAAATATTATTACACTAAGCCAAACAAATATTATTATTACTAGGCCTAAAATCTAAATTTACACTAGGCCTAACAAACATAATTACCCTAGTTCTAACAACAAAAAATTACATTAGGCCTAACAAATATAATTACATTAGGCCTAACAAATATATAATTACATTAGACCTAAAAATTAAAATTCTACTAGATATTACAAATATTATTACACTAAACCTAATAAATATAATTAAAATCACTTGTACCTGTGAAAAGTGTTTATCACACACCTCCTAGTTCGTCCATTACGACTTGAAATAATGCTCGTTAGATAACAAGTATAACTGATACTGCTTCTGATGACGCCTTGAAAATGTATGTTCCTTCGTATTCACTTCTATCTGTTGGCATTAATGGTAACTATTAATTATTCAACTTTAAAGTACAAAATAAATAAATTTTATATCAATCAAAAACGTCTAATTTTGAAACAGAACTTGTAATATTGTAGCTCGAACTTTTTCTAAGTATTTAGTTTCTGTAACTTCTATAAATCAAACGAATCTTAGGTTTATTATAGGACAAAAATTAACTGATTTTTTATTTGTAATTACGAAAACTTATTAATAATAATTAAGTGATATTTAACTTTTATAGCACACCCACCGCTCCTAATTATGTAGCGCGTATTTCAGCAAGGGACGCGAATTGAAATCCTCGGACTTGCAATTCGGTCATACTAACCTCTAGGCTGCGTTTGGCCCATTTTCCCATAACAAAAGTGCTAATGAGATCCTTAAAAATATCAAAACCTAATTATGGAACCAACTTAAAGGCAATTGACCCAATCATGAATGGACATTACATAACTCCAGTTGTAATACTGCATTTTTTTCATAATCTCTGACTTTTTTTTCCAGCTGAAGCTAGGTTTACTCGCCAACATCATCACTGGGAGATAATATAAAACTGAATTTGTATTCGTAAAGTTCCTCCTTTATGTTCTGTTCCCCGGTAAATCCGAGAGATTATAACGCTAAAATTTGGGTGTCAATACCTTTGGTGGACACGCACAACACAGATAGTCCATTATGTAGCTTTGTGCTTAAAACTAACAAACTTTATTTTTGTTGTTGTTTATTAAAGCCTTAACAGCACCATGAGACATAAGAAAATAATTATTATAAGTACTATTATTTCCAAAAACGTCTATTTGTCACTGGGATTCATTTACTTTCAGTTTCAGTTTTAAAACGTTTTAGGCCAATTCATCTTTATAATAGCGATTTTGAATAATTCTTTACTTTCATGTACAAAATGAGTTAGTGGTACACATATCACTAATCATTTCTTTTTACTTTATGATCCAAAAATAAACAGATTTTCATTCAATTCACCTTTACTTTTCACACGGTATACCAAATCAAGTATTGGCAAATGTTCTTGAAACAAAACGGACGTATGGTTTAATTATTCTGCTTTAACATAATATTATGATTATGTATGTGCAATAGAATTCACACTGATCTTTTGATAAATTCGTTTTATTCATTTCCAAGAAATCTACAGAAAATGTGAACCTTCACACACACAATATTATATAATGCAGGGTGATTGGGAAGCCTTAAAATCTAATATGTGTTACAACACTTTAAACTACCTATATCAAAGTACATCTAAACTAATAAGAAACAGTAAAAGCAGGTAATGCTACCTATAAATTAAACTATTACACTAATATATTTATATATATATATATATTATATTAATACAGTAATAATCATTGCAATTCACTTCACCAAAATGGAATGTGAAAATTATATATTTGTAAATTCTTATTTTACCATCAAATAATGTACTGCACAACCAAATAACAAAGCCTTTTATTTTTGACCATTAATAAATTATTTGACGAAACTGAGATCTAAATATTTATTTATGATAAAAGGAAAAACTCTTTAAAACGATCATATAGTCTGATATCTTACAACATGGTATAAGACGACTTAAAACTGGCGAAGCAAAGAGGCTAACTAGACCTAACAAATGTAATTACATTAGGCCTAACAAATATAATTAAATTACTTCTACCTGTGAATATTTTTTATCACTCACCTCCTAGTTCATCTATTACGACTTGAAAGAATGCTTGTCAGATATTTTTTTAATTTCATGTAAATCAAAACGTCTAATTTCGAAACGGAACTAGTGATATTGTTGTTCGAACGTTTTTAAAACATTTATTCTCTGTGACTTATATAAATCAAACGAACCTAAGGTTTAATATAGAATATAATTAAACAATATTTTTAAGTAGTTACGGATATAGATTACTAATGATTAACCGATAACTAATCAGTGTTACACGTGAAAGTATGAAGTTATAAGTCATCAAGCGAGCTTGCATCAGCGTCCACGTCGGGTGGAACATCGCCAATAGAGGGATCGTATCGCCAGCGGTATCCTGGTGGTCCAGCAGTAAAACAGTATTTATTTGTGAGTATGCGGTCACCATCCACGTAGTACATGATGTAGAAGTTACACATTTCGTCATTCCCTGTAAGCCTAGGTTAAATAATTTATTGTATTTATCAAGATTAAATCTATATTATCAGGTTTATTGTTAATAAGAACTTCTAAGAGAGAGTAAAGAAAAGTGTATAATAACATGTCAGCCACACAATATCTGCTGTATCCACGCCTACGAGGTCTTTCATCCAACACTATGGCTCTTCAGGTCGGCTGGGATACGACAGATTTAGTTGTGTTAAGACGCTATCTATAATAACAACTGTTAAGGTGTGAACTGGACCTGAGTTGACGAAGTATAATTTTTTATCAATAATATTTTTGTCACAACACACCAGAATTAAGGTAATGCTTAATTAACATTCTAATAATGTATTTATTTTAACATCACAAACCATTAACTATTATTTTCTTGTTTGTTTTTAGAGCAAAGTCACATTGGGCTATCTGCTGTGTCCAGTGCGGGAAATCGAACCCAGATATTAGCATTGTAAGTTCGTTGATTTACCACTACACCACTAAGGGCCATTTTCTTCAATAAACCTGCTCATTATTCAGAGAACTGGCGAACCAGAAATCTAGGCTTCATTAAAACTTAATTTTTTATGGCTATCATTCCTGAAAGTGTTTTGGTCTTAAATAATAACATGGTTTAAAAACGGTATAATAAATAAACACATATACAGAAACAGTTAAAAAACTACCAATCGAAAGTTTCAATGTAAAATTCCTAAATATATCTCATCTAAATTTTTTCTATAATCACGATTACTGCTTTTATTTTATTAATAGATCATCTGATTTTCGGTTTTAACCGATAAAGGCTGATGAAACAGTCAGATTTAAAAAAATATAATATTATATTATTATGTATAAGTTATTCTTTTTGCCAATTTTCGAAATAAATGGCTTTTATTTATATTGCTTAATAGTATAAATATATACTATGTGGTTCTTGGGCTTAGGATTCTTCTACAGTAGGAGTCTGTGACTTGTTAGCGATAAATTCAACGATGAATAAACAGCACACACTTTACTTGTTTTCAAATAATATATATATTCGGAACAAGGTAAACGTATGCACAACAAAGTCTTTACACTATAAAGATAACAGACATATCATAAACACTATTTATATCTAGTTCTCTTCTTGTTGTCAAAAGTCCATTTAGGCCTATTCTATTACTTTAGAATTTCAGTTGACAAGTCAAAATATCTTCTCTATATTACTATCGTACTAGTATTGTGTGTGATTCACTTACACTTCAGTTGTGGCGCAAGCTACCGTAATTCGTTTGGTCTTCTTTTTTTTTTTCTTCTGAATATCCTCTGTTCCTTTTGTCAAAGTGTACCCAGGCTGATTCAATTACTTTAGATCCACGCTTTGACGGAATAAAATTATCTTTTTTTATACTTTTAGTTTCAATCTAACATATTAAACGTTAGGCCTATGTCAGTCGTTAGGCCTATCACTTTTACGTTACTTCGCACCAACTACACTCTCTTTGCTTTCATCTGTCTGCCGCTTCCCGCTCGTCTCAGCTATTTATATCTTTATTACATAGTCGTCTGGCCATTTTCTGTATTCTCGACACCAATTAGTTATTAACAAATCCTTCTAAAATCGTCTGCTTTTAACTCTTATTATAACAAAACTTAAAAATAATAATGTATTCACTCACAAATATAAATTAATCATTAACATTTAAACCAAACAGTCTTTTATATCATGACAAATACCCCCCGATACAAAAAATAAATTGGCGTATATCCAATAAACGCCGGAAAAGCACTAAAAACGGCTACTCAGATCACATTAACTTCAGCCCTTTCCTAGTGCAGTTAAATATGTGATGTCCCTCCTTCTTGACTTATACCTTGATTCGTTCAGGGTAGTCTAAATGCATCCCAACTAGTTAGGGTTAGGAAAGGTTTGTTTGTCTGAAGGCAAGCACAAAGCTACATAATGGGCTATCTGTGCTCTACCCACCATGGGTATCGAAACCCTGTTTCTAGCGTTGTAATTCCGCAGACATACCGCTGTTCCACTGGGGGGCGTTAAGAAATGTTAGATTAACATGGAAGTTATTCTTATGTATATTCTAAGTCATGTAATATATATACAGCAAGTCAAGTAATATACATTTAGCAAGTCAAGTAATACGTATTATAAGTCGTGTAATATACATTTAGCAAGTCAAGTAATACGTATTATAAGTCGTGTAATATATATGTAGCAACATTAATTAACGTAGATCCTGTGCAGAGAAGAATTTTGTGAAAAACGCCGAAACAATATCACAGTAAATAAAAAGCGGAAGCCCGAAAAAAAAAAAAACGATTTTAGGATACCTAGATAAAACTGAAATATAGCTAAAAATAAACGCTGAAAAGTAAATGTCCTAGTTATTAATAACGAAGGAAACAACTGTAATGGTTTGTGATGGGGAAGCGGCTTACGCTTCAGGTAGAGCTCTGGGTTTCTGAGCTGGAGAGCCAGGTTGAAACACGTCCGATGCCATAAAATATTCCCCGCACTTTAACCTGTGGTACGTTATAAAAGCAACAATCAATCCCCTAGCATGGATAATTGGTGGTAGGGTGATGCTGATTGACTGCCTTCTCTCTAGTCGTAGTACCAGTAAGGACAGCAGCAGATAACCTTAGTAGTATTGCCATAAGTACAAGAAGATTATATATAACACACACACATATATATATAGAGAGAGAGAGAATTACGTCAAACTTAGAACATTTGGCATCTTTAAAATTCGTCAAGGTGCGTATCTTTTTATTTTTTTAAAGTTAGGCCTACTTCTCTATAACTGTATATACTACCTAATAAAATGCCCAAAATATCGCGAAATAACAGTTTTAATTTATTCGTGTGTGTGTCATTTGAATTATTATTTCCCGTAACTTGTGGATCACTATACCTCCTCGTGCTTGAGTTACTTTATAACGTGGAATTTACTTACAACAACAAAATAAAATAACTGTCTTACCCAACTCGAGTTGTGACGTCTCTGAAGTTTTTCATCGTACATCGAGCAGCCTTGTTAAAAATAAACGTAAAATTACAGATTAGTTATGATATTTTTTTTCCTTTTACTTCTCATGTGAAATCAAAATGTTTTCGAAAAATTATTATTTTTTAGAATGTGAATATTTGATCTCATGAGCTCCTCCAATTGATCAAATATGAAGTCCATATTTAGACATATATCGCGGAATTAGAAGCTATTTATCAACAATATATTATTTTAAATATCCATACTACATATACATCTGTTCAAAACTTAGCTACAGTAATTACCCAGTTGTTGTATTCTGCCTCTCCGATTGCTTCCTTAAATGCACTGTACCTTAAAATTCATCAAACCAGGTGTCGCTTTAAATTTTGGGTGTTTTCGCCGAAAAACAAAGAAGATATCGATACATTTGGAAAATGTTCACGATTTTGCACGTAATGAACAAAGATAAGTACTTCCACTACATACTCGGCTTGACAAACTTTTTTCGTTTTTTTTCTTAATTTTTTGTCGCTTTAACATATTCCTCGATTTTGTAAATAAAAACCCGGAAGAAAAAGTCTACGTAAACTCAGCTATGCTTTCCGATCGGACGGTGAGGATTAGGCCGGATAAATAGAAATTTGATAATAATGAATTCAGTTGATAATTCAACAATCGAAGAGCAGTGGAACATAACAGCTCAGTTATTCAGCTTACGAAACTAACTATATTTACTGTTCAGTATTCGATCGTATTTAACTACTTCTACGTTTGGCTTTTAGCGTACACATATTGTATGAATCTTTTGACGAAGAAAAAAGCTATTGTTAAACGCTAATACTTAAATTACATCATTAAAAAATACAGCTTATAACACTACAACCGTTTCTGTCCTGCATTCATTGTGAGCTGGTCAGTTAAATAAACAGTTTCTTTATTTATTCAGCTTAATTAGAAATAACTTAAGGTGTTTTAAAATGTATAGGTTCGTGTTTACTTACATACGACTGCATAAATACTCCGAACAATTTATCTAAAATAAACATATATTTAATTTAGATATTTAAACAATTCACCATAATCATAATCCCTTCATAAGAACCTTATAAGCAATAATACTTTCAACTAGATTCGTTAGGCCTATACCGTGGAAAAACTAGTTATACCGAAGAAAAAATTTTATTTAAAATAAATTCACTATGTTTTAAAGTTATTTAATTGTAACGTCATGGATTAAATAATTATTTTAAAATGTAATATCGCCTCAATACTTCTGTACAGAGATGTACTTATATTTATAGAGTAAAAGTTGTGTGTTTTAAACATTATATACAAGAAAACTTTATACTATTATCATGCTAACTTACCACAACATCTCCTTGGAAGATAGAAATCTTTTTATTGACCGGGTAGAACATCTACAAGACAGAAATTCCATTATTACTTAGAAGTGTATCCAATTTAACCGAAGACGCAAAAAACAACAGTTTAAAATTAAGATATTTATTATAAATAAACAAATGTGGCATATCCCGAAATTTTGGAGTCTAGAACCCAAAATAGCAATGTTAGACCACGTAGAGTCTGATATTCTAAACAGTTGGTGTAAGTCATGTTCTTCTAAGGATCAAAACAGTAATTGTAGAATATATATACAACCTGATTTTTTTCGAACTTTTGCTGTAGGCTATGTTGTTATTTAAGAATTGAGATACTAGTTTTTAGATTATAAAGACTCTCATTTCCTAGCGTTGATGTATTAAAAATGTATATTTTATGACTTCTAATATTTTTACACTTCTATGTTGTATTTTCACTATTTGTTCAGCTAGGCTTAGCTACCTGAATTTCCAAGTAACGTGAACTCCTAATATTTGTACGATTTACTTTCATCGGTAATATTATTAATTGTCGTGCAGTTCAAAGAAACACTTTACGAAACAATCAAAACTGTAGAACTTGCCTGTGGTTGCAGAGGGTCGTGTTTTCCGATACGCTCCCACATCCCGTTCTTCCTCATCACGTATCCAGCTACAGCTTTTCCTGTAGAATTACAAAATGTTGGAAGTTAAACTGATTTACACAACACATTTCATAAAATTTCTGTTTTTGCATTTGACCAAGAACGATACGAGTACTAGAAAACGTACTAACATATTAAAAAATAGCACGAGTTTCCATGAATGATATAATAAAATTAAACCCGTTTTAACATTACTTACCAAGCTGGTGAGTGTGGGTTCGAAATGCGAAAGGGTGAAGAACGACAGGCTCTTGGATGGTACACGCTGTTTCCATGTGTTCTGTAAATAGACAATTAGTACGTTTACACATTTAACTTGTACAGGATGGTTGATACTGTCTAATTTTTAATCGTTAGAGATTTATTTTACTTTATTAAAAATTACTTTACTCCTAGTCTAAGATCGTGATATTACAAGAATCTCTATAAAAAATACACCCATTCGAAACTT